AAAAAAGAAAACGCAGAGATAATAGAAAGTTCGATGCATGGTGCAAAAAACAACAATCGGAGCAACATACCTGCGCGAATGGGAACGATGTTTCTCTTCTTTCACGGTTTGCGAAGATTTGAGGTTTGATATTCTTCGGGACAAGTCCTTGAGAGAAACACCAAAACGCGAGCGACAACCGGTAAGAGCGCGCGGTCGACGTTGCTGTCAATGACAACACGCGCGAGGCAGCATTCGATCGCGAAAGTGGCGTGAAACTCTGCGAGCTTGTTGGCAGCGGTGTGGCGTTGAGTTGATTTTAGAAGACCTTGAACCACGTGAGGGAATTCGGGCTGTGGCGAGGAACAAGACGTCAAATACCGTCGACAAATACAGAGGAGACGGGGGAAGGCATGACCGAACGACATCCGCACGCTGTCACTTTTGTTTACTGTCCGAGGGTGAACCTTCGTTCGATGGAATCGCGCGACTCCGAGACGATGCGACGCGATGCCACGATACTCGCTCGCATATCGCAGTCACGCGGTCATGATTCGCCGATTCTTCTTGCTATTAGTTATGATCTCTATTTTCTCTCTCTCTCTCTCTCTATCTATCTATCTCTGTCTCTCTCTTTTCAATCTATCACCGTGAACAGTCGGTGGCTCAAGTAAACAGTAGGACACCAGTGCACGTCCGATTTGAATTTCCTCGACGGACCGTCTGTTTCGGAGTCACAGTTGTACATCACTGTACGCACGACGCACGAACGAACGCCGCACTTCTCCTCGTCTCGTAGTACACCGCGCGTTGGACTTCTCTGAACGATGACGCTGAGCGATTTTTCGTACGCGGGACTGCAAAAGAGACCGACTCACCGACAACGCCAGACAGCGGCCATTACAGAAATGAACTGCTCCGCTGCACGCCGTCTATCGGCGATACCCGACGCGACGTACTCCGCTTCCCCCACCACCGTTCCTCCCGATGAATCGAATGTAAAGGCCGCACACCGTCTTTCAAACGTGTACGTTCGAAACGCGAAATCTTTCCTCCGTTTCTATATAATACGAACGCTTAAATAACACGCAACGTACGAATATTAAGCGGAAAATGTTGTAATACAAGCGAAAATACTCGCTTTCTTTAAGAAACGATCTAGAGGGTGTAAATTTATTTCTCTTTCGAAAAAAGACACTTTTCATTTAATATCTTCGAAACACTAAAGAAACACCATGTGAAACAACACCGTGAAATACCTTGTAAATAACGTTTCAGTCGATTCCATATAAAACTATATACTGGTCATATGTA